TCCAGCTAGTACTGAAGTATTGCAGAGTGGTACAAAAGCCTTGCCTTGGGAGCCAAAGGCCTTGACGTGCTGGAGTTTGTAACAATTCTTACCTTATACACTTACCCCTATGTATCTACTGTAGCTTTTCCAAATTAGTGTCAGTTAAATTAGAATGGTCGAAGGAGGTGTTCCCCTCTGTTTTCTTTTTTTGTCAATTTTCCAGAGTTGTAATAAAATATCCTATTTTATGGCCCAAAAAAAACCACATTATATTGAAAAATAAACACCTAGAAAGTCAAATTTACAGGCATACTGGCTGGAATCTTGCAGATTTTTGAGTCAAGGATGTTACTCACTAGCTCAAGAAAATGATTTCAATGTTCCTCTAAAAACCCTGAGATACTTACTTTAATGGTTTATGTCAGTAAAGATATGTAGTCTAGACTGTTCTTTAAGATCCCACAGGTATCTCATGAGGCTCAGGCCTTGAACCGCCACCAATCCCCAACTCTCTCACTGCTGGACTATTTCTACTACAAATAAGCCATGGCATTTTAAAAAACCATAATCAATTTTAAATTCTAAATTAAAATAAATTATAGAGCAAATTAAAATAAATTTGCCTTGTGCTAATCCATGAGACTTTCCATTTGAGTGTGCTTATGTCAGTCTCATAAGATATTTATCCTCTTAGTTTAGGAAGGGTAGGAAGGACAGGAGGCCAGCTGGAGGGAGGAGGTATACATTTCCATGTCTTCTTACATAAGTAAAAGGCCAGACCCTGCCTGCTTATTTATCTGCCTTTTTAAAGGCAGCCACCAATGGTAGCACAGACGGGACAGCACCCAAGGCAGGGTACCCGGGTTTCACTGGCAGTGCTGTAGTCACCTCAGGCCCAGGGAAGTGTGTGTGAAATCTAAAGTCAACCTTTTTCCAAAGACAAGACTGGGTTTGGGTTTTTGGTTTTCTGTTTTTGTTTCTTTTCTGCATTCTTCTGTTGGATCACAGAAAAATAATGTGATCTCAAGAATATTTTAACACTGTGGCAAAGGAAAACAGTGAGCACTTTCTCCAAAGGAGAGGGGGCAGAAAAATATTCCCAGGTCGCAGAGCGGCGGGAGACAGCCACCTGCTGGGAAGCCGGGTCCCAGCTGCGCAGTAACAAGTTCCAAGGAGAGAAGGTGAAACTCGGTTGCAGAAGAGGACGGGTGCTCGGGCCTCCAGCAGCCTCTCTCTCTTTGTTTTTAAATGCTACTGCACTGTTGGTTCTCGCTGTCTGAAAGGACCACAGCGTCGAAAACCCTGATTGTCATCCTCAGTGGGAGAACGGGTCTCCGATTTCATCAGCTGGAACGAAGTTGGGGTGTGTGTGTGTGTGTGTGTGTGTGCGCGCGCGCGCGTGCTGGGTTTAAAACATTGCAGAAACGTGGCCTTTCCAGGAGTAGACGAATCGCCAACAAATTCGCCCACGGTTTGGATTATTTTTGTCCCTGGCTGGCTCGCCCCTCTCTTACCCAACCCATCCGCTGCAGAGACTCTCCCAGGTGGAATTATTGGAGTCAACTGGTGGGGGAGGGCAGATGTCCGTCAGAGGTCCCCTCCTGGCCGAGGTCGCGGCGGAAGCGGGCGTGCAGGCCGTGGGCCGGAGCCCTCGGGTGTGCCCACTAGGGTTGCTCCAAGTGGGCGAGGTGGGCACGGGCGCAATCCGGCGGGCCTCGGGCGGCTGCAGGAAGCAGTCTGGGAGAGCTTTTAGAGTCTTCTCCTGGGGAAAGCGTGGAAAAAGGAGAAAGACGGCGGAGAGCGCACGGGGCGGCCACAGCCACCTCCCTAGCCTTAACCCTGACCCACCCGGCCCTGTCAACGTGGGGACAGAGGGCGCCGCGACCGCTCCACTCAAGCGTGCTGTGGGCCTCGGCCGCGGCCTTGTCCCCGGAGCTCGCGGGCTGCGCCTGGGGAAGGCGCCTGGCTCTTCCCTGGCCCGCTGGAGAAGGGGGACACAACCGGCGCTGCCCAGCCTAAGAAGCGGAGCCCCGTCTCCCCAACGCGGGAAGTTCTAGGATGAGCTCAGGAAAGGGGGCACCCTGCCTGCTAGCGCCCCTCTGCCGAGCGCGCAGAATCCAAGTCGAGCGCCCAAGCCGAGCCCCCGGGAAGCGAAGAAGGAGACGGGCAGACTCCGAGGCAAGAAGCACAGAGGAAAACGGATGGCCAAGCCCAGGCCGCCTTCCGACCAAGCTCCCTAGGCCTCAGCCAGCGGCCCCGGCCCGAGCGCGGTGCCCGAGAACCAGGGAGCGCTCACACCTGCGGCCGCGAGCTCTGAGAGCTTCGCGCAGCCAAGACGCCTCGATCCCGCGGCGACAGGGCCCCGTTCCAACCCCGCAGAGGTGCGCCCCGCGTCGCGCACCTGCCTCGCCCTGCGCTGAGCAGTCCCACTCAGAGAGGGTTGCGGGGCCTGGGGCCTGGGAGTCGACGACAGCTGCCTCGCTCTGCAAAGCTCAGGCCACGGCCTGCTGGCCTGGCCTCTGGAGGCCCGCCTGGCTGCCTCCATGCTCAGGGTGCTGCGCGGGCCGGCGAGTCTCGGAACCCGTGAGGGAGCCGAGAGCCACGGTTCCCGGGCCTCTCCCTTCGCCTCGGGAGGGCACAATGGCCAAGGTGCGCCCCCAGATCGCAGCCTGGCAGCCTGCCCGCGGGCTCTGCCAAAGCCCTCTCGGCGAGGGGATGCGGAAGAAAGGGGAAGATCCCCCTCCAGCCACCGTGGCGCAGCGCGGGTGCAGCTGCACCGAGAAGGCGCCTCCGCGCCGTGCGGTACCCAGGTGCTCCGCTGGCTCTCGGCGCGTGGGGCCGGGGTCGCTGCTCCGCAGACTCAGAGCCCGCCCATCCGCGCCGACGCCTCTGCCCGCCTCCTCCTGGAAGCTTCCACTGCGGCTCCGGGTCAAGCTCAAGCGGTCTCTGTGCAGGGAAAAGGTCCTGAACCCGCAGCGCGCGGCCCCCCGGGGAGGGGGGCCCTCCTCGCCGCCCGCAGCTCGCGGGGGCTCTCGGCTCCCTACCTGCTAAGCCAAAACCTCGGGAACTGCCGGCCAAACTGCTTGGCCTCGGAGAATTCAGGAAGGTTCGTTGTCAGCCAAGAAAGAGGTCAGGGCAAAGCAGCCAGCGGGGAGCCGGCCGACCGACCGCGAGTTCAGACCTAAAACATCTCTTTAAAAAAATCGCCCAGGTGTTTGTCTTCGCATTTCACTGGGCAGAATGCGGTGAGCTTTCACCCTGCAAACACTTTCTTTACGAGCCCTTGTTCTTGGCTTCTGGCTGTCGGGACGAAACCCGGAGGGGAGCACCCAGAAGCGGCTCTCGATTCGGTTAAACCCCGAATTGGAGGTCCCTGAACAGCTGGTTCTCCGAGAGTTCCTCAAGGGGGGAAAAATATGGTTAGTTCCCCCTAATGATGGATCTAAAGCGATTGCCAAGAGAACTGCAAGCGGTATCCACTTTCTCGCCTCCTCCCGCCCGTCGCTTTTTCGCCAGACGGGGCCGAGCGCGGCGGAAAGAGAGGCAGATTGTGCAATTTCTTATTAAACACATCTAGAAATTAGCCGAGCACACAGATCCCGGTGCCAGGGTTTTTTTTTTTTTTTTTTTTTTTTTACAAAGAGTTTATGGCTGTGACAGAAAATTGTCCTTTTAACGAGTTTACAAGCAGTAATCACGAGGCCTTTTACGGGAGCGGCCCCTCCGCTCTTCGCTGAGATCCCGCGACCCGGGCTGCGGGGAGCTCGGGCCGTGGGTGCCCGCGGCGCCGGAGCCTGCGCGGGGCCGAGCTGGGAGTGCGGGGTGGGCGTCCAGGGCGGGGAAGACATTAAAGTAATTGGCCCTTCCTTGTTGTCCGGGGAGATTTCCGCGGCGTCCTTTGAAACCTATCGGGGTCATTGCAAACTATCTCGGTGCGGGGTGTTTGCTTTGGGGAGTGAATGCGAAGAATGCGCGGAGATTTCCCTGCGCGAGCCCCTCCCGCAGAGGGGGGCCTTTTTTCCGTGGCCCAAGACGCAGAGAATAAACACCCTAGTGACTTAAATAAACACCGACTTAATGATCCAAAACACTAACAAGGGAGCCTGGGACCCTGAGCCCCAGCCCCGGTGACGGTCTCATAGCGGCCCTGTGTACATCTGTCCATCACCGACGGGAAAATGACTTTATAAGTAAAAGCCACTACGGTCAGACACGGCGCGCCCAGCTCTCAAAGCAACCTGACAGCTAAAAAACAAAACACACAAGCACACCCCTCCAGGCTCCGGAACCAGGACAGGAACAATAAGAAAGCCTAAGAAAGAAATGAACACATCCATGGTGACACGTATAGATGGGGAAAAAAATAAAAATTATGTAACTGTCATGTCAGAAAGTAAACTCTCCCTAGGGAACAATATTTTACAAAGCACAAGCAAGCCACTCCTGTTATCCTGAGTAGAGTTTTAATAAATAATGCCATTTGTTCACTAATTTTTAAAGCTAAATACAGAAGATACATCATTTTGCCTCAGGCAAAAAAAAATAATATGGAGCCTACAAGATTATTGGGATTTTTCTGGACACTACCAGGCAGCCCTGAAAAAAAAAAAAAAAAGCCCCTGTTCTGCTGGTCTTCTTTCTCTCTGCGCAGATTCATCCACAATGTGTCTCTCCTTGGTCGAGTTCCCTATTTTTCCCCCCAAACAGATAAATTATTTTTAATTTCACAGTGTTGTCATAAATTTATTAACACAAAAGAGCTACCATATAAATGCCATTAAGAACTAGTGGTAAACGAAACTGCATATCTAAATAATAAAAAATAAATAAATACTCCAAAGCTAAACTCACTTTTCTCTGTCATACTATTAAGTTAGGTAGGACTCTTGATTCAGGTGATGGCCTTAAAAGTCACCTTGTAATTCATAACCACCGTTAAGTCGGAAAGCATTAAAAAAAATAGGGCCCAATGACAGTAATACACAACTCACCTTTGAGAAACAGAATCGTACTCCTGGTGTTCTACCAAGTTTTAATTTAGACTGGTTTAGGTACAATAGAAAAGAAACCTGAAAACACATGCTGTTTTAGTAACGAATACCAGGACGCCAGATCTGTCGCCACATTGTGCAAGCTGGACGCTGGGCACAGGAGAGCCCCGTGAGCAGGAGGCGGCTATGGGCTGACAGCTGTGAGCACAGGAGACCTAATGCATTCAGGAAAGTTATTTTTCACATTGGTACATTTTTAGAGTTTGTCACTTAAAAAAAAAAAAACCAAGAAAACAAACAACAACCAAAAAAAAAAAAACCCCACCAAATTTGACAATAAAACAGTTGTATCACTAATGTTGACTTCTATTCTAACTGCCTCACACTAGACAGTATTAAGACATTTAGGCACTTGGTTTTCCCCCTAATACTGTTCTTTTATTTTAATCTACATAAAATTATTTAACACTAAATATGAAAAATGTAAACTTAATTTTCCCATCATCAAAAAAAAAGTGGTATGATTATATTTTTCCTACTCATGTTAAGAATACAGCCAGTTCCTCCAGGCAGGAGGTTCCTATTTTCATAATTATTTTGACACCTCTCTCTCTCTCTCTCTCTCTCTCTCCATTTCTTTTTCCTCTTTCCAAAATAGTTTTCCTTAAATAAATTAAAAGAAAATAATTAAAATCCAGTTGACTTGCAATTCCTGTTCATTGGGGGGGAAAGAAAAGAAAGGTATTCGAAGAAGGTGCATTGGTCGCTCAGAACAATGCCTGGGTGCTTTTGTTTTTGGGTTTTTCCCCCCCTTGATCTCCACACTGGGACGGGAAAACGCAAAAGTGAAGGGTCAGAGAGAAGAGGGAGACTAAAGTTTGAAATCACCATCGGCTTCGATTTTTTTCAAGAGATATCTGTGGCAGTCCACCATTCCTTTATGCGCAAAGAACCCCAGAAACAAGCTGCAAGGGTGTTCCTGATTCCTATTTACAAGTGTCCCTAGTCGCTCTGGTTGGTTGCTGTTCCAGCCATCCCTTCAAGGCCCAGGGCCGCCCCCGCTTAGGACCCCAAGTCCACCAGACTGGAGGTGAGGGGGCCGAGCAGAGAGTCCTGCAGCTGGTGCTGGTGAGCCTGCAGGCCGTGGCTGGGCTGCGAGGCGGCTAAGCCCGGGAGGGAATAGTTTGAGCTCCTGGCGTGGCCCATGTTGCCCTGTAGCAGAAGGACCGAGTTCTGGTCTGGACTTTGCGGAGGTGAGAATTCCTCTTCTGAGCTGGACATGAGCGGCTTGCCCCCTTCCAGAGGAGAGAGTTGATTCTGCTTGTTGGAGGAGGAGTTATTGTTTTCCGTGTTCTCCCTAAGACAGACAGGACAACACCATATGGTTACAAAAAGAAAAAAAAAAAAAGTGTGAGCTGGAGGGAGGGGCGCTGGAAGGAGGAGAGGGCCATTGTGCAATCTGTCACCAACCCAAATGGAAGGGCTCTGCCGCCGTCGCCCCCCTCTCCACGGTCCCTGAGGGTCACAGAGGAGGTGAGGAGGCAGAAATTAGGGACACAGCCTGCCGCGGGGAGCCAGGTCTCTGTCATTCCCAGATTTCAGAAAGCCAGATGCACAGGTCTTACTTGCAACAAACAAAAAACGTGCCAAGGCCTTGCATTGAAACGCCTACCAACTAAGAGCACATTCAGACGTTAACGGCGAACTCTTCCAACAAATGGTTGTTGATGATAGAGAAATGGCCAGGGGACAAACGCAGCGCCCAGGGCACACATGTTTGGGGTACATCGAGTCAATTGCTCTGTTCCCATCTGCGGAAACAATTAAACGAGGAGCTTCCCTGCCCCCCTGCCCGGAGGTGGCGGGTTCGGAGGCACTGGACGGGTCACGGGAAGTGGTGCCCAGCGCGGCCCAGTGACCTGAGCAAACACAGGGAGCGCGGCCAGTCTCTCGGATTTCATCAGGGAGTGGGCCCTTGGGCCCGGCTTCTGGGATGGCGTTTTGAAAGTAAAGGCTAACTGGAACCTGCTGCCCTGCGACTTGCCCACTGCTCAGCCCCTCGCGGCCCCTGTCAAACTCGCCGCCGAAGCTCACCCCAGGCCAGTCCCCTCCGACCGGGGAGCGGAGCTGCCCGGCGCGCCCGTACGCGCGTCCAAGGCACCGAGTCCGGGTTAGCTCCAGGGCGGCGCTGCCCTGGACGCTTCCGCCTTCCAAGCGCTCGCGGGTCCTCCCCAAACCGGCGCCCGCCGCTCTCCCCCTCCCTTTCCCCGGCCCGCGGCCTCTCTCCCAGACAGCCCATTTCAGCTGAACGTACACGATCCCCCCCGCGGTTTTCCACCCCGAGGGGGAAAGAGGAAGCCAGATCTTCGGGCCCCCAGGCTTGGAAGCGAACAAAGGAAACCCAGCCGGCCCTTGCGCTCAGGTTTCCCCCAAAACTCCTCGGCTTCGCGGAGCGCTCTCCTCGCCGCCTTCCCAGTCTCGGTCGGAAACTCCAGCGCACGGATGGAGGCCGGCCAGGTGGCCGAGGGTGTTGGCGCTAGGAGGGGAGAGGCGGAGGCGGATTGGAAATAGATTGCCTTCTGCGCCCCAGGACCAGTGGCGTCTGCGCCTGAGACCCCTCCGTCGCCCCGGGCGGCGGCACGGACCGGGGGCGGACGGGCTGCGGCGCCCCGGCCACACTGCCAGGGGCGATCCCTTCTGGCTCGGGGCGCCGGGGCGGGGAGCGGTACCAGCGGCTCCAGCTCTCCCCCAAGCCCTCCTCGCTGTGCGTTTAGTTTAAAGACGCCTGCCTCCCTTTGTCCGGCTAGGGCGGAATGAAGCAGGCGACTCCCAGGCCGGAGACCAGCAGGACGTAGCGAGGGGAGAACCGGGTGGCAGGGGGGCCCAGCCGACGGCTCGGGGCGGCTTCACCGCTCCGCTCAGCCCCCGCCGACCCGCGTTCTCCGCGATCCCCATTCGACGCCTCCCTCGCCGTTCGTCCGGAGGTTCTCACCCTTCGCCCAGCTCCTGGCCGCAGCCGGCCGGGAAGGCTCCAAAAACAAATCTAGCGCCAATACTTCCCAACACCCACGACTCAGAGAGGCCCGCGCGCGGCGCTCAGAGCCAGCGAGGCCCCCGTCCCTGGCAAGCAACCTCCGAGTTCACGAACTTTCGCTGCGGAACCCGCCGAGGCCCGGGCGCCGCCCCGCGGACGCGCTCCCGCTGGCGGGGAGCACCGAGTGGCGGGTGCCTGCGGGGGCGGGGAGGGGCGGAGGGGTTGGGAAGGCTGCCCGGGGTCGCCCGAGCGGCGGGAACCACGCCGCGTACCTTTCCTTGGCCTCGGCAGCCCGGTCTCTTTGCCTCCGGTTCTTAAACCAGTTGCTGACCTGCGTGGTGGTGAGGCCGGTGGCCTCGGCCAGCTCCCGCTTTTCGCGCGGCGAGGGGTAGGGGTTGTGCGCGTACCACTCCCGCAGCACGCCCCGCGACTTCTCCTTGAAGCAGTAGCTGGTCTCCTCGCCGTCCCAGATGGTGCGCGGCAGCGGGAATTTTCGGCGCACCCGATACTTGCCCACGGCGCCCAGGGGCCGGCCGCGGAGCTTCTCGGCCTCCACGTAGTGCGCCTTCAGCCAGAGCTGCTGCAGTTTGGGATGGTTGTGCGGCGAGAACTGGTGGCTCTCCAGGATCTTGTAGAGCTCGCGGAAGTTGCCGCGGTGAAAGGCGACCACCGCCTTGGCCTTGAGCACGCTCTCGTTTTTGTGCAGGTGGTCGCAGGCGGGCAGCGACCACAGGAACCTGCCCAAGCGCTCCAGGTTTCCCCCTTGCTGCAGAACCTCGCACACGCACGCCACTTGCTCCTGCGTGAAGCCGAACGACGGCAGCATCGACATGGCTGAGGCCTGCCGGGGCGCGCGGCTCAGGCGCACGCGGCAGGGAGCAGAGCCCAAAAAGCGGCCGCTGGGAGAGGGGCGCGGCTGCTCCTAACCCCCTCCCCAGGCTTTGCGTGGAAGAGCGAGCGAGTCGGAACTTGGGGGGGTGGGCGGCCGAGGAAGACGCGGAGGAGCGGGGCGTGGAGGGGGGGGGGCGGGCGGCGCGCTGGACGCCGAGCGGCCGGCACACTCCTCAGCCTTCCGGGCTTCGCTGGCTCCGGCCTCCCGCCCGGTGGATGCTGCTCGTGGCCGGGGAAGTTGGTTTCTGTTCTCCCCGCAGCGGCCTTAAAGCGCGCAGCGTCCCCGGCTCGCTGATTGGCTGCCGGCGGCGCCTATCCGGGGCTGGCCTGCCCGCGCACCGCCCGGCCGGGCCGCTGGGCCGCACCGCCCCGCGCGGGGAGGGCGAGGCTGCCGAGCGGGGGGTAGGGAGTGGTGGGAGGCGAGTGACCAACCCTAAGAGGTGGGAAGCGAGGTGCGGCCGGTGGGAGGGAGCCGCGCTGCGGGGGTGGGGGAGTGGGCGAAGAGTCGCCGCACTGCAGCGCGCGCCCCCTCGCCAGTGTCATCTAAGGGGAGCCGCGCGCGTGTCCGCACGAATCAATGGCCCTGAGCGTTCTAATTCCCCTCCTCTCCCTCGGTGCTCCTGCCTCGGCCCCTTGCAGACTGGCCCTTTCTCGGTGAGCTCATATTTAATTACCTTAATGTTGGAATGAATAAATAATGGATTGATGAATAGCGTATGGAACGCGATAAATAATACAAGAACCGACCCGGGCTCTGGGCTGCGGGCGCTAGAGAAGTGGTTTCTCTCCCCGGGTTCGCTACAGCCCCAGGGGCCCAGCCTCGCCCCTCCCCACCCCCTTCCTTCCTCTCCCCTCTCCCCACCGCCTTCCGCGGGGCACTGGAATTAGCCGCCGGACCGCGTCCTCCGAGGGCCACCCGGGTTTGCGACATGGCGAAGAGCTGGTTAAAAGAGAGTCGCTTTTGTCGGGTGGCGACTTCGAGGGTTCGTGGCGTTCTGCGCCGTACAGGAGCCAGCAGGCTTCTAGCCTCAGTTTCTCAGCCGCGCGATCGCTCTCCCACGCCGCTTCTGCTACTGAGGAAAGCCTAGAAGCTTTGCTTGCCATTAGCAAAAATGCTTTGGGAAAGGCGCTGGACGGGGTGTAAATTAAATAAAACTGTGCCCCGGCTCCAGTAACCGTCGGTTGTAACGTAATCCTTTGCCCTGCTCTGAGAGGGACACTATCCTCAAAGGGACGCGGACAGTGGTTGCAAGAAGATGATTAAATAAAGACTGCATGTGCGCGTGTGCGTGCGTGCGTGTGTACTACCAGACAACAGAGATGTCTGGCAATTTCAGTCCCGTCATCTGCTATTTTGCTCCATGTGTGAAGAATGTGTAGTAAAACTGCACCAACAAATGAAGCTGTAATTATCTTAAGCCTCATTTGCACACCTTGTTCCAAAGCAATTATTAAAAAGATTCTGAAAACAATTAGCCTCTCTAAACAGAGATAATCTATTGTCAGTAGCTGAGACTGGCAGGAGATAAGAACAATGAGTGGAGATAAGGGAAGCCAAATGGTGGAAGGAGAAGGACTTTATGACTATACTTATCTCTGATTAGATAAGTTCAAAACAGAATTTTAAGTACACTTCAAAAATGCTTTTGATTGCAACGCGCCCTCTTAGGGGATGGAGAAGAACAAACCCTAGGCTCTTTAAACTTGCTCATCTTCTTTAAATATGTTTGGATTCCATCAGTCAAAGAGCCCTGCATTACAGAATCTGTAGCATAGAGAGACATAAGTGGCAGGAGGAGAGCCTGTGTGGGTTTCTCCTTGTATAATTTATATGGTTTTAAAATAATGCACCCCACCCAGTGCACCCTGCAATGTCCATGGTCAACTCTTACAGGTTTCCCACGTCAGCGCCGCCTCTGGGGAGATTCAAGCAGAGAGGGAGCTGCCTCCCTGCTGAACTCCTACACAATGCTTTCTGCAGCCTGCAAGCTCTCTGTATCCCATGCAATTAGACGCTGGAAGCAGATGCTGATATTTCATTACCTCTAGGCTAATTTTTTTTAAAAAAATGCATTTAATGGGTGCGTGTGGTTTCAAAAGAACCCCTGCCACATGGTACGCTCAGTGACTTACTTGCTAAACTAGAAGCCTGGCACTCTGAGTCCAAGGCCATGTGTCTGGTAATTTTCCCTCGCTGTCTTATTTTAGTGCCCGTGATGTTTTCAGATGAAGTCTTGAGGAGCTGCGGTGTCCTGCCAGAACGAATGTCTCTGCTTGGAACAGTCTTATTGACAACGCAGCTGTGTGAGGACCGGAACGGAGGCTTAAACCAGGCTCCGAAAATCAGCTAATACCCTAAAGTCTGGAGCAAGTGCGCACAATTATAATGGGGGTGGGGTGGAGGGAGGTCTTGCAGCACAGCCGAGTCCCTGAAAAGACAAACAGTGTGCTGAGTATGCGGTGTGCTTTGTAATTAACAATTTTGTATACGGAAATGAGGCATAGCTTGGACAAATAAAGGCAGGTATAAATTCTACAGGAGATGACAGCGAGCAGAGAGAGGGCGATTAGACGCCAGTAGGACCACCGCTGAAACCCTGCTTCCTCCAGACCTCCCTGCACACTTCTTCCCATCTCTCTTCAGAAGGAAGACGTGGGCGACCGCAGGGAAGACGGGGTGGGTTCTGTGATTGGTGAGGAGCGCCCGAGGTCCGAGGGCCGGTGCCCAAGCCCGCTGGCCCTTTTCTTGGCGTTTAATCCAACCGATCGCGTTAGCTAGAAAGGAAAGTGCTCTGCGCTTTGTTCCAAGGGTCCTACCTGCTATTTCGATCCCTCGGTTAGGGGAACCAATTGTTATAAATGTTAATTATTGGCTCGGATATATAAGGTTTCCCAAAATGGAACCTTTCACTGAAAACCACTAAAAGAGGTAAAATGACATGAATTTACAAACCGCATAAACCAAGCGATCCATTTTAAATCGCACACAGAAAGGTTTGGGTTGTTCTGGTAACATAAAACCTTCGCTGTCAATGCAAATCACACGAAAAACAGAGATGCGTCGGAGGCTTAAAGGGAACGAGCCCCTCCAGCCCGGCGGCGGCTGCGGGCACCCGACGCCGGGTTTCGGCGCTTCGGTGCCTCCCGGGGGCAGGTAAAGGCCGGGTGCGCTTCTCTGGCGGATGGAGAGGCCGACGAGGAAAGACAGGAGCTGCTGGGGTTTCTGAGCGGGCTTGACACAAGGCCTTAGCTCAAACCCCTCCAGCCGGGACCCACTCGCTTCCCTTCTGGCTTTGGAATTGAGAGGCTTGGGTGTCACCAGCCTGCTTTCTTGGAATTTCTTCGACCACGGGGATCCCACTTTACCTACAGATACTCGGAAGGGAAGGGCATCCAGAGGCGTTAATAAACCGGTGTCGTCGCTCTGGGACAGTGCGGAGACACCCCCTTCCCGCCCCCAACCCCGATCCGGGCTGCGGTGACGACGCTCAGCTTTTTGTCCTCTGCTTTGTCGGAAACTCCGGTGCCCTCGACCCTAGGGAGCCCGGCCTCGGCGGCCCGCGCGGCGCCGGAGCAGCCGCCCACCTGCTTTCGACGGGGACGCTGCTGCCCGCGAGGTCTGAATAGGCCGAGGGCTCAGGCAGGGCGATCCGCGGACCCAGAGAAGGGAAACCCAAAACCAGTCCATTAGTAAATGAGTTTTGTGTTGTCAAGGTTCTTTCCCATCCACTTGCTGGCCTGAAAAATAGATCACGTTTCGTTATCTTTAGTGAGAATCTGCAACGCGACACCGGATCCTCGCGGCCCCCGCCTCCCTCCCTGCAAGGCTGCCTCGCTCTGCCGGGCCGGGGGAGCCGCCGGCCTCCTCGGCTTCTTTCTGAACAATGAGGATTTGTGTGCTGCCTCGGCGGTGTGTGAGGACGGGTGGAGGGCGGGCGTTTTCGCCTGCGAGCGGGGAGCGCGCGAGCAGAGTCGCCGGCTTCCTTGGTGCGGCCCAGGCCGCCCCCCGCCCACACCTGGACAAACAGAGCCAGCTGCCCGCCGGGCTGGCCGCTGAAATCCCCGGCGCCCCGAGCGGCTCTGGAACCTGCCCTCTCAGCCCCGTCCCGGGGTCCGGGATGGGAGGCCGACGGACGCACCGACGCACCGCAGCGCGCGGGACGGGGCGCATCCGCTCCCGGAGGTGCGGGCGCTCGAGGAAGCTGCGCTCTCTTCCTCCACGTGTCCCCGCGGCTGGTCTCTGTCCCCGCGTGTCTCTCTCTCTCTCTCTCTCTCTCTCTCTCTCTCTCTCTCTCTCAATTCTCTTCTCTAGGCTGAAACAGGAAGCTCTTTCTGTGGGTGAACCTGTTCATCATTCTTAGCGCTCCCTCCCTCTTGCTCATCCACTTTTCCTCTCTCTCTCTCTCTCTCTCTCTCTCTCTCTCTCTCTCTCCCTCTCTCTCTCTCTCCCCCTCCTTCCCTCCCTCCCTTTCTCTCTCTCTCCCTCTCCTTTTCCCTCTCCCTCTCTCTCTCCCCATCAGAGCGTCTGGCTATCACGCGGGTAGACACTGGTCCAGATCGCTGGGGACCAGTCACGCCGAGTGGAAGCTCGCGCCAGAGGTGGGGGCGCCCGCGGGGAAGGCAGGATGAGGCGGGTTGGCCCCCTGGGGTGGGGTGGCGGCTGACTTCAGCTGCATTCTGAGAAGGCCCCGACCCGGACTCGCCCATTGCCAAGTCTGAGCCCGAAGCTCCGACTCAGTGTCAGCCGCCAAGGCCCTTTGTGGAACAAGGGTGTTACAAGAATCCGTTCCTAAGAATTCTGGACGCTCTGCCCCCCCCACACCCCCTTTAACTATAGCCTTAGGGCAAGTTGACAAAAATGAAACTCTCCAACAGTGCTATCTTTCATTGAATTTCTAATCAACTTTTTTTTTTTTAAACTCAACTAATGTACATCCTGAATACCACATCTGTCTAAGCTAAGAAGAATTTCCTTTCGGGAGGTGAAAGCCTGCAGTTCGTCCTGTTCAGAGGAAAGTGCTAGTGACGGTAATGCAGGGTGACACTAAATAAACAGTTAGGGTGGACTGGAAAGATGGAGTTAATTATCCAGTGAGCTGCGTTTCAGCCGAGACCATCAGGGGCTGATTTGTTTTGGCTCGGAGTC